TATATATATATATATATATATATTAAAACGCTCGCATAGCAACTGCGACATAGTGTAGTGACAACACCCCTGCTTTTGGTGATGTCAGCTCCGGTTTTGAATCCGTGTAGTCCTGCACAGTCAAACCTTCTGCATGACTCCAAGATTGAAATATAAGATTAAATACAGTTTATCCTATATTTATTTTGCCCTCAGGCAAAGATTTTTTTCTGCTTTTAAAGTCGAGACGACATCAGTTTCAAAAAAAAAAAAAATCGTTAGTTATGAGTGTTCTTATTTCTCTAAATCGTAGGTTGCTCGACGAAAGACTTGCGCTTCCAGACGACGACTTAAAGAGGTGGATAGCCTCTTTTTAATTGTTATTCCTGGTACGCGTTTGTTCTTGTGAGAGGCGGGATATGATTCTATGCACAGAGATTAAGAAGGGCAGGGTTAAGGGTAATAAATACTTCAGATGCAAAAGGAACGAGTGCTTTAAGAAACTTGGGTTTTTACAGCGGCACATTTTTTGAAAAATCCAACTTGAGCTCAGAGAATGTCTTTTGCTTGTCTTCGTATTGTGCCGAGCACCAAAGGCTCACATATGAAGACATAGCAGCTGAAATGGTTCGTGAAACGGGGAGCAAACTCAGCTTTTAAACTTCAGTAGATTATATGAAATGTGTAAGAGATGTTTGCACGAAGCATTTCAGGAGGCATTTTTTAAGAATAGGTGGTCCTGGTAAGGTAGTGGAGATCGACAAAACGCCTCTTACCACGAGAAAGTACAATAGGGGTAGAGTGGTAGAGAAACAATGGTGTTTTGGAAGCAATGAGCGAGGGACTAATAAGTATTTTGTCGTTCCAGTCGAGCGACGGGGTGCTGCTACCCTTTTCCCACTGGTCAGGCAGTATGCTGTTCCAGGAACGACAGTGTCTGATCAGTGGGCGACATACAGCACTATTAAAGAAATGCCGGAGGTTTATCAACATGAGACTGTTAACCACAGTCTCCACTTTATTGATTCTGAGACCGATGCTTACACAAACACAATTGAGTTTCTATGTCAAAACTTCAAACAGGAGCACAAAGCAGGGCATGCGACGTAGAGGGCGTTTTTGCAGTATTACATGGACGCATTTTTATGGAAAAGAATATATGGGGGCAACGCTTTGTACCATCTTTGGTCGCAAATTCAGGAG